AAAAAAAAAAAAAAAGAACAATTCCATAGTAAGGTGGCAAAAGCAATTTGGAAATTAAGGGCGAACAAAAAGTTTATGACAAAAGTACCAAGATCTAGGGAAGGACCTTAGACAAAAGGTTTCTAGTCTGAGTAGGGAGGAAGCAGATGAGACATAAATACTGCTGTGTATTCAAAAGTAGAGCCTGACAAAGCTAAAACACTTTCTAAATATTAACTTTTGCTCTGATTCAGTAATCCCCTGAAAGGCACATCAGTATATCAAATGGTAAAACAAAGCAAAAGATAAAATTATTTGCCCATGCCCAGAAATAAAATTCAGGAATAGGTAATCTCCTTCTATGCTTCTTTGCCCTTTACTGTAGCAGCATAAACAGCCTGCAAGTGCCCCTGTGTGAATACCTTGGGGAAAGTAAATTGGTTACCAGTGTTTTGTAATAGCTAGGAATGTGGAAGTTGAGTCCAGACTAATAGTAGACAAGTTAGGTCAAAACCAGTTATAAGCTTGAAAAATTTTTTTGCTATCACTCTTCTTGCTCAAGATGAAAGATTATGTTTTTAAAGGACCATTCTACTGTGCCAGAATATTCTCATTAAGATATTAAAAAGTCCTTGTCCTGGAAATGAGAAACTTTGGCTTTCCTTAGTGCCGAATCCTCCAGTTTTGGGGAATCATGGATTAGGCCAGATGCTCTGGAAGAAAATGATCAGTATTAAAGGATGAATTGATGGATTTCCCTTTGTTGCCAGAAATAAGAGGAAAGGAGTTATGGGGGTATATGTCAAAGATCTATTTTTCCCTGGTAGGTGTGGAGTTTCCAGAAGAAACAAACAGATCTCCTCCTCGCCTTTTATAAGCATAGAATTACAAAGTTAGAAGCAGCCCTGCAGGAGGCACAGCAGACGGTGACCAACCAGGAAATGTAAGTGACAAATTAAATCACCAGAGAGCTTTTTTTTCTTTCAGAGGAGCTGTAGCCCTTATTTCCTTATGGTTGCAAAGCCTGAACATTGTTGCATGTGTTTATGTTTGTCTTGGGTAAATCAGGTACAGAATTTTTGGTCCCCTCAATCCCCATTTTGTTTTTCTCTTTCTTCCCTGTAGGGGCCCTCCTCACTTTATAGCTTTCCTCTTGTACTTCCCTGTCAAAAACTGCTTCTTTGGAGAAATCAGGCATAGCTTTTCAGTGATAAAGATGGGAGATAGCATTTAAAATGTTACCTCTAGGGGTGCCTCAGTGGCTCGGATGGTTAAGCATCTGCCTTCAGCTCAGGTCATGATCCCAGGGTTCTGGGATCGAGTCCCACATCGGGCTCCCTGCTCAGTGGAGAGCCTGCTTCTCCCTCTCCCTCTGCTGCTCTTCCTGATTGTGCTCCCTTGCTCTGTCAAATAAATAAATAAGATCTTTAAAAAATAAATAAAAAAAATGTTATCTCTAGGAGAGCATATTTTGGAAATCTTAAGCCAAAAGATGGAATCCTTAATGGACGTTTTCAGACAGCAGCAGGCCAGGGGTGTGTGTGGAGAGGAAATGGAACTCTATGAAAACTCATCTGAAATCATACCCAGTGACTGCTTATTTTGTCCACCTGATTCTCCCGGCCATCAAACTCTGCCTCTGTCTACTGAATCCCTAGATCTCTGACAGAGATACCTTGTATAGGGACAAGCATCTCTCTATAAGCATTAATTAGATGTCAACAACAATAAAAATTGGGGTTTGTATCCCACTGATCTATTGGAGATTATTATTTCCATCTTTTGCCTAGAGAGCTGTCAGTCTTAAAGAAGGAAAATGGAGAACTGAAGAAATGTCTTGCCATTCTAAAGGTAAATGAAACAGGTTTTCCTTACTATTATTTTCTCTCCTACTTTTCCCATCTATCTAGCTGACTAGATGCTGTATAGAAAATGTTTCCTAACTTTTTCCACATCGTGGCATAAATAACTGATAATATTTATACAACAAGTGCACTGTAATAAATGGTCAAGGCCACAGAAGAGCTAGGAGGACTGAAAGGATCAGTATGTAGCACACTGATAACCCATTCTCGAACATCAATAAGTCACGACATACCATTTGGGAAACTCTCTTATTGAAGAGACATCTGTTGTAACTTAAAATTTCTCTTCAAGAATCCCAAGGCACCTTAGGACCCTTCCTCTTCCTCCAATCCAACTCTATTTCCTAGACATTTCTTTCTTCCTAAGAATGTTCTTTGTATTTATATGATTTTCCTATTGATCCTATTGCTGTAACTATTCTAGCACATTTTATCCTGTCATTTTCCTTTCTCTCCCCCATAGACTCTCCATATTTTCCCACATAAATCAGTCTTTGGGATTCCCAATGTGTTTTTATGAAAAGGAACTAAAATTTCATTCCGTCAAAGCTAATAATTTCCTAGGGAAACATTGGTATTTTTTTCTCCTACTGGGAATCTTAGCAACCACAGCTAGAGGACATTGCAGCTTAGTTATCTAGCAAGTAACATTCATTGATTAGAACCCTAATCCTAGCTGCAGCTTCCTTCACACCCATTTTTTTCACCTACAGGAATCTCCAAATTGGTACCAAGGAAGCAGGTAAGTTTTATCAGGCCCCATACTAGCCCTGTTTGAAAATTGCTGTTCTTTTTAGACTCTTGGCTGCAACACCTGTGTGGGCTCTAAGGTGGAGGAAATGGTTGGTGAATTTATCTTTCACTTCTCCAGTTACTCACTGAAATTTTTCAGGGCTGAAGTGAAATCTTGAATGTAATGCTCACTCTTATGAAATCCTACTCATCCTTCAAAATTCAACTCACATATCACTTCTTCTGTCAAGACTTCATTAAGCAGAGTTTGATGTTCTATTATTCATTTATTCAACAAATATTAAGTGCTATTTTTTATCAGGTACCATGCCAGGTGCTGGGTGTACATCACCAGTTAGTCTGTAACCTACCAACTAGTAAATGTTTTTTTACCTCAGCCCTGTATTGGTGGGTTAAGAGACATGGCTCCTGCACTCACAGAAGTTACAGTCTAGTGTTCTTTCATGCTTCGGTACTTCTGCTCTATCCATCATAACACTTAAACATTGCTTTTATTTATTTTTGTCTCTCCCACTAGCCTGTGAACCTTTCAAAGATAGGAACTCTATTCTAGTTATCTTTGTAATCTCAGGATCAAGGATGTATAAACACTAAATAAATGCTTGTTAGAGAGATGGATGAGAGGATGGCAGGAGTGAAGGAATGATGGATTTATGAGTGGATGAACAGATGGATAGACGCATGTAAAATTGAGAGTACTTGGTAAGGCACTGAGGGAAGGAAGAAAGGAGGACTTCAAAATTTCTCCTATTACAGGCAGTAGAGAAGATTTCACTTAGAGTTAGAGAGCCAAGGAGTCTCATATGGAAACTTTGCCTCCTTATTTTTTTTTTTTT